TTTTAACAAATGGTAGGGGGGACTTCTTACCAAGAAAACGCCAAAATACACAATTTATATAATACACTAAATATAGCACAAAAATAGTAAGAGATTCCTCACCGAGACCACTTAAAAAAAATCGCGCACATGGTGGAAATTTCCCTTTTTACCTATAAGTCTACACACCCGAGAATCTGAGCTAGGAATGATTTCCAGAAGACAATCGCTGCACGAGCTAAATTTCCATAATAACTTAATCGAGTTCTCTGATTGATCGAGAAGGGAAAACTATTTTGAATGCTAATGCGAGGTTTGTTACGTCACTAAAGTTTAATGAATGAATCAATCGGAAAGTGATAAAATAATAATAATCAATCTTTTTGAGAAAACAATAAACAATCACTAATAATAAAATAGATAAATGAACCAAATAAAGTGACCGACAAACGTTACAGTACCATCATCATTTCTTCAATAATTCTAAAACTTTCTCCAAATCGAAATCTTTCTGTTCTGTATCGAACATAATTTCCCGTCTGTTCATTTTGACTTTCAATAAATGTATCGACAGCTTTTGTATGTTTACCTTTATATACCACGCATATTCAGTATATCCCAAGCTATTTTTAGCCTTTGGAAAAACGTACCGATTGAGCTTTATCAATTAAGAAATATGTGTTTAAGTACATCCGTTCTAACGGATATAGACGTTGTGATATAACTGCATGTTTAAGGGTCTGGATGTGGTTTGTTTTTACAGAATAGAGAATAATTGGTAAAATGGCCACAGATTAAGAACAAAAAAGATAAAAAATAAAAAAAAATCAGGCAAAAAAATAAAATAATGGAGACTATCTGTTGTCTAAAAGAAATGCACTTCGAAGTAACTGTGTTATCGGGCCAAGACTAAAAGATGCCTTAAACACTACCGAACAAGCAAACCTTTATATTTAAACCTTTAAATTCGCTAAAGATTATGTTTTTCTTCAGACTCGACAAACAAAAAAATGCTGATACAATATCGCAAATTCTACATGCATTGAATTGAAAGAATAGTTTTACTTCAATTGAGAAACAGAAGTTTTGTTCTGATAACAAATATTTTGTTATTTTTTTGTTGTTGAAATTTTGCGATAATTACTAAAATTTTGCCAAAAATCTATAAAAAGGCAATTTTGGGCCATCTTTTGTCATTTTAAAAACCTCGAGGTTCACACATGGCGGTTGCTAGTAAACTGTAAATTTAGCTTTTCAATGATTATGAACGTGCGAGAAATCCCTACCTTTTTTCACATGTCTCGACTAAGAGCTGATCATATTGTATTGACGTTTGTCTATCTTGACCTCGAAAAGTTTTCTACGTCAAATTTATGCACTACCCTAGATCCCTAGCGATTAAGACGTTGACATATTAAATGGACGTATGCAAATAATTGAAAACTGAATGTTGACTTTTACATGGCATAGGTTCTTAAATGTCGCAGGGAAAATGGCTGACGTGTACTCATTTATTGGTATGCGTGTACTAGTTTCAGAAACAAAATGTTGATTGATAGATTATTTGAATAGTGTTTGCTTAACGGAAACAAATACAAATATATGGTAGGGATAGCATTACACGAAAGTCTGGATTGATAGAAAGACTCATCAGTACAAAAAGAGGCATATCTACCGTAAGAGATTAGTAGCCTTTTGATGGGAATTCTGTTTGCGCGGTTCAACATTTAATGTGCTTAAATTAAGATAGAAATGCAACTATTTGTTGGGGTTTTATTTTGGTGTTAGCAGATATTTACTAACGGTTGGTCCTTTTTTGGAAAAAAACTGTTTTATAGTCAGTGTTGGATCAACTGAAATAAATAACATAGTATAGAAAATAATGCGTACTTTGTTTAGTATATTTACCTACTTTTAATGATAGGCACATGTGTGCTCTACAACAGATACAATATGATATATAATCATAGTTATTGATGTCCATATTGTGTACAAGGTCACGACCGGAAGATAATTGAAATAAATTGAAATAAACAAGATTAATCGAGGGAGACGTGTATAGTCTTCAACAATGGACAGGTGTCCTAAAAATACGTCATACGTCACACAAATGCTATCATATTATTTTTTTTTCAGCCATATGTGCACATGGATAATTAAGTGCTGCATTCATAAAAGGAGATGTGAGATATACGTCAGTCAGACAGAAACCCAACTACAAAAAAAACCGACAGACATCTAGATTTCAATGTTTAGTAAATAGGTAACAATTTTTTGACAAAAAAACATAAAATATGAATAAAAGAAAAGGCAAGGTTTACATCAATAAAATAGCAACCCGACAACACACAACTAAACGGCATTAGCTGGTTTTTGCCTAACTAGATTATCAGTTCAAATATTCACCACTTTTTACGTTCAACATGTTCAAGGGTTGGAGTTTTAATCAGGACTTTTTAAGTTGAGGGGGTACCCAACACTATACACCAAAAAAAACCTGTCGTTTAATTTTTCTTGTTTTTATCCCATTGATAAACTAGGCCAAGCTAAACATCTTATAAAAATTTCAAAGGATTTGAACCATACGTTTAAAAGATTTGGCAACTCGAATATGGCATCTTTTGCATGCTAATATCAGCCAAATCTGGAAGTTTCAGCAATATGGGTATAGGGGTATATATATATCAAAAAAAATTAAAATTGATCCTAAATTGACAATAGCATAGTTAATAGTGAAAACTGAGGCGAATTTTAGTTCACCTATTCCCTTTACTTGTATTTTTGTCATTCTGGATTTAAATTTTTGTCCGAATTAAAAAAGGGGGGTCTCAGATTCGGCCCCCAAAAGTGAATATGATGGGTCAAGTATTTGAAGAAGAAATTTAAAAAAAAAAAAATGTGTCGTTTAATTTTTTTTAAAAACTAACCATTTGTAGTGCTATATCAGTTTGTTATTTTTGCAAAAATTTATAAGTTTTTATCCACCAGATTTTTTTCAATTATAGTTTTTTATAATACCACCACCCTCAATAAATAAGAGCAAGTTCCATTCTGATAATATATTTGGGGCATAGTTTTCTTGTCTTTTGACCTAGGGTTTAGATATTTTGCATGTTGGTTAATCATCATGAGGTGGAGTGTCACATATCATGATGACTTTCATGTTACCTTGAAATTTGACCTCAAGGTCAAATAAATGTATTTTTTGATAGAAAACAAGGCAATATGCTTTTTTTTTTTTTTTTTTGACCTAGGTCTTGCATCTTTTGTATGATGATGTATCATAATGAGATGGAGTGTCCTGTGTTGTGATTATCTTCATGTGACCTTAAATTTGACCTCAAGGTCAATTTTATTTTTTACTATAAACACTTTACCATGCCTTCTTGTCTTTTGATCTTGGTCTAAGATCTTTGGTATGTAGATGTATCATCATCAGGTAATGTGTCTTGCACCATGATGACCTTCATGTGATCTTGAAATTTGACCATAAGGTCAACTTACATGTAATGTAGTTTTTTGCATGAAAATGACCAGGCCATCACTTTTGACCTAGGTCTTACATCTTTGGCATATATGAATGTATTATCATGAAGTGGTGTGTTCCTTGCAAATTTGACCTTCATGAGACTTTAAATTTTGGTTCATTTTATTTTAGTAGCTTCAGATCAATGATTTTTGAAATATTTATTTCATAGGGTACAATATCCAACAACTAGTATGTTTGACTTTGGAGGTCATTTTTTTGCAGATAAAAATGACAAATTAATTATTTTTCAGTGTCAATTGATCTGGGACTATAATATTAAATTATAATGCAGGGAATCAAAATTTCATAGAACTTTGTAAAGTACACACTTATTGCATTCTTACCACCTTCCAAGTTTCATTAAATTCTGTTGTGCGGATTTTAAGGAGTTGAATTAACAAGAATAGGATAGACAAATGGACAGACTGAAACATCATATCTTTGGCAACTTCATTGTGTTGGGAGAATAATAAAACAAGTATCAGGGTAGACACAGTCAGGTTATAGGAAAACACAGACATATATTTATTTTTTGGCCATACAAAATTCATTCCTCAGTCTGAAAGTAGTCCTGAATGCATTTCACACTCTTTGGTGGTATCTTATGGTCATGTAAGACAAATTTCAGTCCATTTACATCTCGTACAGATGCCAGTTTGAGGTGTTTCAACCATATACCATCTTTTGCTAGTTGCATGCAAACTGGCCTTGAAACAATTTTATTACTTAGTATAAAATGGAAAATACATCATCAGATTTCACTAGTGAGGTAAATTTACTGTCGTATAATGTTTTTAATGAATCCACATCCTCTATTGCATTGCGGGCAGAGTAAATTTCTCCTACAAACTGTTTGACAAGAGTCTGCTGCTTAAAATTTTCTACATCATTTTTTGGAATATATTTTCTAGCCACTTTCATTGTGTCAATAAAACCTTTCACGGTTTCACAAAATGTCAAAAACAAATTATATTTTTTCAATTTGTTAACAATTACAGGAATGTCAAAGTTACAAATGTTATGACCTAGTATAATTGGCTGGTTCTGTTCCTTTAAAAAATGTATAAAATCAACTATTTCTCCTCGAACATACATTTTATTTGTTCCATGGCCGTATGTTATACCAGTGATCTTACTGGCCTCAATCTGAATGTCCAGTCTTGGGATGACATATCTGTTAAAACTATTTGAATTTGACTTAGCTGCTATCTGAATGATGTCGTTATTCCTACCCAAGCCTGTTGTTTCTAAATCAAAAAACACTTTGCATTCAGTGCCATCTAGATTAAAAGGAAGTGGAATTTCTCTGGTTTGCTCATGGTCCTGTTGAAGATCAAATTCCATTTGAGATCCATAGGTTTTTCCTTCTCTTACCAGATGTTTACGCTTATTCTTATTGCGGTTTCTTTTCTTTTGTATACGGCCAACTTTATATTCCTTTGAATTCTTCTTATCTTTTCTTTTTTCCAGTTTTTTATCTCTTACAGAGGAAATTGCCATTGTAAATTCTCCTGGAGAGAGGTTTGCTGCTTCATTGATCTAAAAAAATGCAACATAATTAAAATGTAATACATATATGCATTAAAATATTAAAAATCAAGAAAAAACAGTAATCTCCATCTTGAACACATATTTTGACCTATAATGGTAACTCTTTATATATCGTGACTTAGATGGATAGTTGTTGCATTAGCACACATACCACATCTGATAATAATTTGAGAAGAAAGAAGATAATTGAGTTACATACTAGATAAACATGATTTGTGACTGTAAATTGTACAATGTATATCTGCAGGGCTAAAAAAGCAATACAGTAATCTCCTTGTATATAAACATTGGATGCAACATGTAACATGGTTTCAAAAAGATAAAAAAATTATTAAAGGAGAATGTGTAAGATGTCATGAATGCCTCCGCTGTAGCTTTGCAATTTTCCAAGTTAAAAAGGGACAGAACTATAGGTTGACAAATGAGTCACAACACAAATTTGAACTCTGTCTGAGTGTTGTGATTCTTATATGTATCAGTTTTATAAAAGTTGTATCAGACAAACTTATGTTAGAGTAAGGAAACAAAACAATTTGCAATTTTCCAAGTTATAAAGGGGCATGACTCTAGAACAATAAGTGACTCACTTTCCGTGATGAGGCAAACTTCAGTTAGAGTGAGGAAAGGAAAGAGGATGAGAGTAAGGTCAGACGGACAAAAAGACATGGAGTGGACATAAAGATAGTACTAGAAATTTAATTTTAATGAACTTTAGGTCAAGGTCTTAGTTACCAATCCTGGAACTTGACACAAGCGATATACCGACATACTAAAAATTCATTATATGCTATATCAAAAGATTAATAAAGTTATGGTCTGAACAGTCTTTCTGAGAAGATGAAGAAGAAAGAAATAGAAGAGGAAAGAAAAAGAAGAAATCATATTCAAACACTATGTCACCCTTCGTTCAAAAAGAAGATGTAAAAATTTTCATAGTTACCTTGGATAAGTAGCCATATCCTTCATTTTTCTGAAGCACAGCTACAGATAGCCTATTCTGAAGTGAGCATGATCTACCATAATGTCTAAAAAAGAGTATGAAGAACTTTTTAAATACATTAAAATATATTCCCCTCTTCCCTTATTTGAACTTGATGTCAAAGGTGCAGGTAACAGTTACATACCAACTCACCAAATATGAAGACCCTTTGCAAAAGATTAATATTTGTATATAAAGTTTCACTATGATAGTATTGACTCCCTTCATTGAAAACTAATAAACTTCAACCTGCCTGTTAACTTGAGTTGGACAGATGGATGTACATCACTTTTAGAAGTCAGGGTATGAAAGATTTAAAGCCCTGAAAAAGATAATTAAGTCTTAGATGCATGGATTTTTTTGTTATTGGCTTTGAACTAGCTGTCAGTAATTGCAATGTTACATATTTGTTTTTCATTTATTTATTTTTTACATTAATTTGGCCGTTAGTTTTCTTGTTTGAATTGTGTTGAATGTTGTACTTTGACATATGTATAATTGGTTTCTTTTTACAAATTGTGACTTGGATGGAAGAGGTGTCTCATTGGCACTCATTCCACATCTTTTTATATCTATACATAAATTTGTGAATTGGGGCCGTTTATAGCTTACTATGTCATATTAGAATTGCTCATTGTTAAAGGCCTTTCTGTGACCCATAGCTGTTAATTTCTGTGTCATTTGGTCTCTTGTGTAGAGTTGTCTTATTGGTAATCATACAACATATTTTTTATACTTATATTCATTGTTGCTTAAGAATGTGAATTGACATGCAAATACCATATACAAATTACCTTGATTTAGGTGCCTTTACAGATACAAGCTGGTTAAAGCTTTCATTTGACTGTGTAGATCCAAGATCATTCAAAGAATTACTCCTACCAATCATTTTTTGCACTAAATTATTCAATTCAACCTTTAATCCTTCAGACTTGAGCGGTTTCCCATTTGGTAAACTTTTATACCTAAAATGGAGTTGAATAAAATGAAAATAAAATTTACATTTCAAATTTTTATTTGCACAAAATACTTAGCCTGAAACTTTAGTGTTATGTTAAGTGTAGTATATGTTCAATATTTCTGTACATGGGCGGATCAAGAAATTTTAAAATAGGGGCAGGAGTTGTTAAGAAAAAAGGGGAGTTCTTAGAACAAAAAGAGGGTGTAGCTTGATACTACCGCAGAGGTCGAACCCTGAACAGTTGGGGCAAGTATGGACACAACATTCAAGCTTGCTACAGCTCTGAATTTGGATTGTGATTAATATTTGACACAGCATAGGTTTCTGACACAAAATGAATGTAGTCTAAGAACTTAAAATTTTTATTTTTAAATTGGACATTTACCTATTAAGGTCAAATATCCAAAATCTAAATACATGGTTATATTTAGCATATCAAAGAACCCTAATATTTCAATTTTTGATGAAATCAAACAAAGTTTAATTTGGACCCTTTGGACCTCAATGTGGGCCAATTTAAATGGGGTTCAAAATCCAAAAACTTAATACATGGTTAGATTCAGCATATCAAAGAACCCCATATATTCAATTTTTGTTGAAATCAAACAAAGTTTAATTTTGGACCCCAATTTGGACCAACTTGAAAACTGGGCCCATAATCAAAAATCTAAATATATGTTTAGATTCAGCATATCAAAGAACCCCATGAATTCAATTTTTGTTAAAAACAAACAAAGTTTAATTTTGGACCCTTTGGACCTTAATGTACATAATGAAGATCAATTTGAAAACGGGACCAAAAATTAAGAACCTATATACACAGTTGGATTCGTCATATCAAAGAACCCTATAATTCAATTTTTGATGAAATCAAACAAAGTTTATTTTTTGACCCTTTGGACTTCAATGTGGACCAATTTGAAAACCGGGCTAAAATCCAAAAACTTAATACACGGTTAGATTCAGCATATTAAGGAATCAATTTTTAGGATTGACATATGTATAATTAGTTTCTTTTTACAAATTGTGACTTGGATGGAAGAGGTGTCTCATTTGAACTCATACCACATCTTCTTATATTAATTCTTTGAGAAATAAGGCAATACAGAAAATAATATGTTTTCAATACCAGTATAGAAGATCTTACGTAAAATTTTCTGGATCGTGATGATAGCTATACCAGTCAGCATCATTACAATTTTCATGTGATCCAAAAATATGTGGTACAATTCTTTGCAGCCAAATCTTAATGTCATCTTCATTGTCACCTCCCTTAATGGAATACATAAAGCACCTCAAAATATATTGTTTTGTTTCATCCTTTTGCAATTCTTTGTAACTACAAAATAAAAAAGAAACAAATAATTAATGTAAAAAAAAAATTTAAAAAGTCTTCTTTTTTTATTGCTTATCTGTCTATACTATTGAGGGAGCAAGCACCCTTCAGACTTTTATGGGGCATGGATGAAATCTTCAATCATGGATTCATGCATCTGCCTTTTAATTTTCAGAAAAAAGAGTCCTAGTTTCTATTTTTCTTAGTCCGGCCTTTCTATTCTAAACTTCATAAAGCCTCACTAAAAACTATTTGGTCGTTCCATAAGCCATGAAGATTACTCATATATATACTAATAGTTCTTTCAATTTTCAATGTAATGTTTGTGAATTCAGATAACACAAAGATCTTTATATGTCTTTGAACAACACAAAATTGAAATTTCATTGTAATGTTTTTTTTTAGAGTTTGTAGTCTTGACAGTTAAATCTAATAAGATCTATAAGTATGATTTGATTTGGTAAAGGATGGGTTTAAGCCTTTTCATAGACATACTCGTAACACTAAAATTAATTTGTAAAAATACCTCTTTGAAATATCATATAAGCTTGTTGATATCCCCTTCTTTACATGGTTCTGGTCATCTTTTTTCTTTATATTTTCAAACTCAACTTCAAGTCTGGCTGATGTTGCTGCATCATTATCAGCATGTATGACTGAAATGAAGATTGAAGAATTATAAACCTACAAAAAGGCAACACAACAGCAGTCAAGATATACAACTGCAAGCATATTTTTTTATTTGGAAAATAGTGATAGCTGTTATATTCTGCCTTATTTAATTACATGTAGCTAATGTAAATAAAGCAACTAAAATAAATATAAACTGGATTTTTACATGACAATGGTCATGTTATATCATTAACAACAAAATTAATTGATTCTTTGTCATAAAAGTGTAAGAACAAAATACAAGTTTCCTGTGAAAATCACAAAATATTCACCTTTCAAATTTGAAAGTATTGTTGAAATAAGACTTATTTCCCTTTATATGATATTTTCAATGCATTTTGGGGAACTCATTACATGAAATTGTATTTCAAAATTCTTTATTTTGAATATGAAACATACCATTAATTTCACATTCATCATCTTTTAATCTGTGGGCCATAGACACCGCCATATCTGCCTCCATGGATTTACTAGAGCCATGCCAATTCAACTGACACTCATGCTCCGGAACAGTCTCTTTTCTATTTAGATGGAATTCACAAGTCTTACAAGTCTTACTTCTTCAATCAAAGGACAACACCTTTCCTGTCTCCTTTCCAAAAAAAGTTGCATGTCCTGCAAGAAATAAAGTAGAAGGTATTACATACATGATGCAATGATAAACAGTTTAGAAAATATTTTTTTGAAGTTTGGTTTCAATTTGTTTAGGGGTGTAGGATAATGGATATTTTAATGAAAGGTTAACAGATGTAATGTTACAGAATAATATGACGGACAGATATTGATAATAAAGAGCCTGTAGTTCAGTGGTTGTTGTTAGTTTATATCTGTCATATTTTCTTCATAAATTGTTTTGTAATTAATTAACCCCAAGGGTGACTGGGGAATAGAAGTATGGTCACCATTGGTCTTCCTCCGACCGGCGGTAAAACCCTCGTGAAAGTGGGGCGTCCGTTTGGCTGTGCGGGATGTACAAATTTGCGGCCACGTCCGGTCAGAATGGGGACGTTAAATCCGATGCCTCGTGTAAAGAGAGTGCCACGCTCTTTGCACGTTAAGAACCCTTGCAACAACTCTTTGAGGGGTCCGTAGGTGACCTGTTGCAAGGCTAAATTTCTGTCCCTATCCAATATACCTTCATTTCCCGTGGCAGTCTAAATTTCTCCGACCTCAACCCCAGACGCCTCTATTACAGAACCTACCTATTGTATTTATTGTTAATTTGTTCTCTTCCTGAATATGCATGAAATATTTGCCACTGGACGTTAAGCAACCAACAATCAATCAATGTAATTAATTACGCCGTTAGTTTTTTCATTTGAATTGTTTGGTATTTTTCATGTTGGATATAAGTTTTTCTCATTGTTGAAGGTTTTATAGTTGTCTAGCTATAATTGCCTACTTCCAATTCATTTGAGCTCTGGTGGACAGTTGAGTCACTGGCAATCATGTAACACATCTTACTTCTATAATGTATGCAAAATGATGGCAAAAGCTCACCTATTTGCTATAATTGAACCAGGTAAGTTAAAAAGATCTAGCCTAGGGATTGAATAAAAATAAGTATGGGAAGATATTTCTTTAACTACAGCTTCTTACATGTTTTATATCAAACTAAATAGTGAAATTAAATCTTTGTCCAATTCAGTTATTTATATTAATAATTGATTCAGCAAAATTTAACAAAATACAGAAATTAAATAGTGAATGTCAGACATTAAATTATATAATATGAATGCTGTGTATTTACCTGTATTACTATTATAATTCCAACCGGAGCCTCTCTTTTGCCAGCCACCGTCAAAACTTGCTTCAATCTAGAAAAAGATTGCATTTCTAATAAAAAAAAAGTCCCAGCAAGTTTTTTATAGATTGACCTTAAACATTTACCTTCATCTTTAGGATACCTAGTTTTGTAGTAAGCTACAAATACATTATTAAGAACACAAACAAATCTTTGCAGTGACTGCACACCAAATACACAATTAGAAATTAATGTTTTTGTGGTCCTTAAAGAAATTCTGCTGGTCCTCACTGTTAAATCTAATGAAAAATTTCAAAAATTGTGCTGTCCTGTGCAATTTTAGGTGGTGAAAAGTCTTGATCTGTACATGCATGTACATGTATTGTTGTTTATTCTGTCTGTCTCACACTTATACCTAAATGATCATTGTATTTTTTGTAATTAGGACAATATTTACTAAGGGGACACATTTTATTATTACAAATTTACTCTTCTGTGACACTGTTTTTTGTTAAATAATTCTTTGAATGATTCTTGATGCATGAAACCATGAAATAATAAACTAGAGGCTCTAAAGAGCCTGTGTCGCTCACCTTACATATTAAACAAAGGACACAGATGGATTCATGACAAAATTGTGTTTTGGTGATGGTGATGTGTTTGTAGATCTTACTTTACTGAACATTCTTGCTGTTAGTATAATGAACTTGGCCCAGTAGTTACAGTGGAAAATATTTTGTAAAAATTTACAAAAATTTACAAAGTTTATGAAAATTGTAAAAGAATGACTATTAAATGTACAACTATATGTACATCATCATATCATGTAAATATTCTTAGATGATATTTTGTAAGCCAAGCCAGAGAAATTAGCACAGGACTGTCAGCCTGTGTCCTGTTAATATATCTTCAGTCTAGGAAATTTTAAAGAATTTTACAATTTTAAGAGAAACAAGGAGTTAATTGACAATTTTGGTCATGTTGACTTATTAGTAGATCTTACTTTGCTGTACATTATTGCTGTTTACAGTTTATCTCTATCTATAATAATATTCAAGATAATAACCAAAAGCTGCAAAATTTTCTTAAAATTACCAATTCAGGGGCAGCAACCCAACAACATGTTGCCTGATTGGTCTGAAAATTTCAGAGCAGATAGAACTTGACCTAATAAACAATTTTATTCTGTCAGATTTGCTCTAAATGCTTTGGTTTTAGCGATATGAGCCAAAAACTGCATTTTACCCTATGTACTATTTTTTAGCCATGTCGGCCATCTTGGTTTGCGGGCGGGGTCATCGGACACATTTTTTAAACTAGATACCCTAATGATGATTGTGGACAAGTTTGGTTAAATTTGTTTTAGTAGTTTCAGAGGAAAAGATTTTTGTAAAAGATTACAAAAATTTAATAAAAATGGTTAAAAATTGACTATAAAGGGCAATAACTCCTTAAGGGGTCAACTGACCATTTTGGTCATGTTGACTTATTTGTAGATCTTACTTTGCTGAACATTATTGCTGTTTGCAGTTAATCTCTATCTATAATAATATTCAAGATATACCAAAAACGGCAAAATTTCCTTAAAATTACCAATTCAGGGGCAGCAACTCAACAACGGATGTCAGATTCATCTGCAAATTTCAGGGCAGATAGATCTTGACCTGATAAACAATTTTACCCCATGTCAGATTTGCTCTGAATGCTTTGGTTTCAGAGATATAAGCCAAAATCTACATATTTCCCCTATGTTCTATTTTTAGCCATGGCGGCCATCTTGGTTGGTTGGCCGGGTCATCGGACACATTTTTAAAACTAGATACCCCAATGATGATTGTGGCCATGTTTGGTCAAATTTGGCCCAGTAGTTTCAGAGGGGAAGAGTTTTGTAACAGTTTACGAACGACGGACACAGGACGACGGACGCCAAGTGATTAGAAAAGCTCACTTGGCCCTTTGGGCCAGGTGAGCTAAAAATCAGCTTAACTTCAAAAACATGTTTGCAGTTACTTTCATATGATATACCTGTACATATATACAATGTAGCATTACATGATCAAATTGTATTATAATTCTCATATATATTACCTAAGTCCCTTGAATTAGATCTAGGATCTAGGACTTTTTCAGATGTACTCCATGAAAAGTTATATAATATAAGGATTTTTTTTTTTTTGGGGGGGGGGGGGGGGTAAAAAAGACTTAGTTTTCTAGAAAGGGCCATCCAGTCTGGATATTCCACTTTGTGTGCATACATTTAATACTAACATTGCCATTTGTGCTGAGTGACTTTTCCTCTCTTAATGCCATATTGCACGACTGGATTGTTACATTTTTAATCTGTCCACTTAATTCTTTCTCTTTTTTCCTTAATGTGCTCTCTGTAATGGATGGCAGGTTACATTCTGCTAGAAAGTTCTGCAGATGAGTTCGGCCCATCCCTGCATGTATCATTCCTTTAATAGAATATGAGTTATTATTAAAATTGAGAAAGAAAATTGATGTCTTAATAATGGAAAATGTACACACCTGCATTTCTAAGACTAAGAAACAGTTGTGTTATAAACAAAGAAAAGATGGTAATTTGTTTCTCTTAAAATTGTAAAATTCTTTAAAATTTCCTAGACTGAAGATATATTAACAGGACACAGGCTGACAGTCCTGTGCTAATTTCTCTGGCTTGGCTTACAAAATATCATCTAAGAATATTTACACGATATGATGATGTACATATAGTTGTACATTTAATGGCCAAGCCCTAAAAAAAAATATTTCACAGTTTATAATTAGTTATTATAACTCTTTTCAAAGCCTACTTTGACTATGAAAAAGATAAGAAGAGAGGGGTTGAAAGTTGGTGATGTTCATTGAACAATGACAATGTTTTCAACAATTAATTTGCTATAAGGCACAGGCACTTGTCTCAGAAAAAATCCTATATACCTTAATCTAAAAAGTTTTCCCAACACCCCAATTTGCCCAAGTATGCAAGCAGTATGCACTGTTTGAGTGAGCTGTATATATAGACACATTAGTTGTAATTGCCCCCAAGGACTCAATACTAATCTATTTATTAAACAAGAAATCATGAATGCATTTAAATATAATTATGAAAAATAAACAATGCAACATGTTAAATGTAAACAGTAAAACTGTAAATATTAGCATCATACAGACTATTATAATTTACAATCATGTGATATAATCATATAGTTTCTATACCTACCTATGGAAGCTTTTGTGTTGATGTCATAACTTCCAGATGGCCCCCTCTTCCCAAACTGGACATCAGTTACAGTATGACACAGTTCACAATCCACCATCAGTAGACCACCTAGCCCAAACAATCGTTCTCCTACAATATTTGACAGGTGAAACGGACACTTGCAAGTGCAGCAATACATTCCTTTTGCTAGGACATTCAACTCAACAATTCTTCTCCCCATTGTCCAAGATTTTGACACATCAGACTTGTTATCATCTTCCAATTCAGCCTCGGCCCCAACATCAAGAAACTCGTATACGTAATTGCCATGATCATTACGCAAGCCGACTTGCGGAGAATCTTCCAATTTCCTGCCATCGTTTAACCATTTGAAGTAATCTGAACGATTTGATTTCTTATCGGCAGATTAAGACCTCGAAAATTTACCAAATGGATCACGTTTACGCTGTTCCATTATAACATTGATGTACCGTCTGTTTCATATCAACAGGTAAACAACTATTCAAGGTCAATAAAACTTGTAATATGAGGCGTATTTTAAAAAGCTATATTGACGTAAGTTAATTCAGAATTTCAGTAAGAGTTATCTTTTCTTAGGTGTATGGTACCCCCTTAAGTATATTAGCAAAAAAAAAATAGACTTCCTTCAGCGCAGGTCCACGTAAAATAGGCGAGTTACAGCGTTGTGCGTTGTGCAATTCCGTCAATCTGAGTAGACGTATATTTTATATCACAGTGTGGTATGAGGGTCTAGATGGGGGATCCTTCATTTCTGTATTCTTTATTTTTTAGGTCAGAAAAAGATTATCTTTTGTATGTAACAATTGTAAAAATGTTAATGTTTTGTCTTGACGATTTTTTAATTCACTTAATGATTTTAAAATCAATCCTATTTTATTTATGGAGAAAACAAAGATAGGTGTCTCTGTTTAGTATTCTTTTAAAATCTGTCTTTTTGACAAGGTATGTCTTTCTCGTTTGATTTCATTATTTAAATTCAATTTCCCTTCATTAATTTCCTTTTGTTTTTTATGATATACGGTGTTGGTTTTGTTAAATTGCAATACATATTGGCTTCTTATCTTTTCTTTTTAAAATAAAAAAAAATACATTGCATTAAAACAACAATAAGTTATAGTCAAACTGAATCATATCATATTACATACTTCGGTGTACTAGATCAGCCTTATACTTCTCACCGGACATTTAACTTTTGTGATACACTGTTTTACAAGTAATTGTTAATTTTCACATTGTTTTACAAGTAAAAGTTAAAAAAAAAAGGGTTAACAAAATATTTGAAACAATTATAATTGGGGAGTTATCAATGTAATTTAAAGACATCAATACCTTAAATGGAAAGAAAGAGTAAATGGATTGTTTTCAAACGATAGATTGATAAGAAAGGCTGAATAGTGAAATAAATATCAAACGTCAGTGAGGTGAGTTTTAATTATTAGTTTAAAAAGCCAAATATAAAAAACAAATTCACCACATTATATATATATATATATTTATCGGATTTTACTGTGAATATCGGAATTTGATTATTCTTTACATTTTTTTCAGTCGATATTTAAACACGTTATATTGTTTGATTAACGTAAACTATGTTATTTCAATTTTTTGTCCATTTAAACATGTTAAAGTACATTAAAATATCCACATTGAAAAAAATATATAAAAAAAATAGTTTTGCACGAATCTATTTAATAAATTTACTTTAGATAATAAATTTTCTATATTCCAGGCATATATAACAAAATCAAATAAATAACTTAACATAATAAAACGATATGCATTAACAAATTTGTTTCTCATATCGGGTATAAGCTGGGCTCTCAGCTGAGCCCGGAGATTGTCTTCCTCAGTCCCAAATACTTGGCGTCCGTCGTTCGTTAACTTTTACCAAAATCTTTTCCCCTGAAACTACTTCGCCAAATTTAACCAAACCTGGTCACAAATATTGTTGAGGTATCTTTTTAAACCCCCCAAGGGTGACTGGGAAATAAAAATATGGTCACTACAGGTTTTCTTCCGACCGGCAGTAAAACCCTTGTCGAAGTGGAGCGTCTGTTTGGCTGTGCGGAATTAAAACGTACGCAGCTACTTGCGGTAAAATTGGGACGTGAAATCCGATGCCTCGTGTATAGAGTGCCACACTCAATGCACGTTAAGATCTTTAAAGGGTTCGTAGGTGGCCTGTTGCAAGGCAAAACTTCTGTCTCTATCTAATTTTACCCTCTTTTTCTCGTGGCAGTCCAAAATTGACCGACCTTCTAATCTAGATAAAAACAAATGTGTCCGATGACCCCTACAGGCATTACATGTCTGTAAATAGAACATAGGGGTAAATTGCAAGTTTTGTCTTTTATCTTGAAAACCGCTATAGATAGAAAGATCTGACAGGGACAGAAATGCTCAAAATGTTGCGATATAGCTACTGTTCATTTTCCTTTAAACTGTAAGACGACTTTTTTAGGAGTTATTGCCCATTAATGACGGATTTTAACAATTTTTTTCCAGTTTTTGCCTATTATCTTTGAAATTGTAATAGATAGAGGGAATCGTTAAAAGGAAAATTTACAAGCAGGACAATATTTACAAGTAAGCCAACTTTGTCGAAAAAATCACATAATTCATTTTTGGAGTTATTGCCATTTAATGACGGTTATTTTCTTTGCGTGTTTGCCTAATATCTTTCCAAACTTTAATACATAGATACAAACATTAAATAACACAAATGATCAACAAGACATGATCTACAAATAAGTCAACATGACCAAAACTGTTTTCGATTCCTTATTGGAATGACGATTTTATCAATTTTATGCGTTGCTGTCTATTATCTTGAAAACCATAATAGAGAAGGTTTATAAATAAGTCAGTATAGACAAATTATCAACCGAATCACTTTTTAGGTGTCAGACCACCAATTACTCCCTCTAATTGAGAACGTATGTAAAAGTAGCCCTACTCTGACACAAAATAGTGCTTTTGATGTCGGGATTCGAACTCATACTAGTGAGATATCGTGACACCAAATCGCCTTGCACTGTATCCGGTCCGCTAGACCACTCGACCACCTAGGCTTCAAAATAAAGCTTTCGTTGGCCGGGTGTTACCTTTCCACGTCCGTTTTAATCTAGCGTCGTAATACAGTAAATGATATATAAGGTACGAAGATGGATTTGTTGCAGATCAGCTGAATTATCTATTGTAAAGGATCCTACAAATAAATGCAAGATACAGTCACAGAAATAAATATATTTATAAGAAAGACTGAACCCGTGACAACTCTACAACAGATTTATCCATCGGATCACCAGCTGTGACAGTGATACAAGGCTGACAATACATTCTGTATATATAATTCGTCTAAACAACAGCCCAACAATGTTAGATCTGGTAATTTGCTTTCGCAATTTTTTTGTTCTTTCCTTTTTATATATGCAAATATTCATTGAAACATGGAGACATTCAACATGTTCAAACTAGAAAGATATCCCTTTTAGCAGAAAGTGTATTTGATAGATTATATTTGATGGAGAACAGTGACAGATGTTTTGAAACCATTTTTTTAATGGAGGACACAGACTTGCTGAGACCCCTTAAACAACATATCTTCGCAAGCTTAGGGTCCACTTGAACTGGAGGGTCGGATTGTAATGTTCGTATGTAATCCTTGGCTGCCGCTAGTCAGCTAAAATGATACAAATTAGGTATTCCGATGTTGTTTCAAATATAATTTTACACGAATTTCGACTTACAAAATTATATCAGTCAGCAACAAATATTGATTCGAAACTAATTACGAGCTAAATAATCGAGATAATAGTTATAGCGAGAAGAACATATGCATAATCTAGTGAGAAATAATTACCAAATATTTTCCCAATAACCTCGTAATATTTTGACCATTCCTTTACTGGATCAAAATACCTCTGTATGATTTCTCTCATTAGAATTGCGAAAAAAAATGTTCGTGGTCCACCCAAATCAACTGCACTCTAAAATAGAGAAATATTTTTAAAATATTGCATTAGAAGAGCCTGATTGGAAACATTAAACGTTACTGTCTAACCAAATGTAAAGCTGTGGTCACACCTTACCGGATAACACGAACGGACGCCTAACGGATGAAAATAAAAGTTGTCCGTTGACAAAATTGTTATCCGTTGGGAGTCCGTTGATGTACTGACCAAATAAAACGGACGAGTAACGAATGCATAACGGACACACATCGGATATGCAACGTACGAGAAACGGAAACGTACCGGACAGAACGGATCTCGAACGTACATCCAACGGACGAGTACCGCATAAAACGGACACCTAACGGAAGCGTACCGGATAAAACGGATGAACAATATATACGGAAAAATTAAAGGAGACAATAATAATACATGTAAATCGCAGAAATATTCAAAAAGATTATGTGTAACTGGTTTTGGTATGTTCTTCAAAATGCTGCTAAAGGGTAGTGTCTGGCCTGAATAAGAGCTACTTGATAGTGAAGATGTGCCCTTACTCTAAGATCGATTATGAATAATAAGAATTCATGACATTCAAGAAATCTGACATACCAATAATTGGCATTTCTGACGCGAAATTTTCAATTAGCATTTATCCGTTTCAGATCCGTTCATCATCCGTTTTATCCGTTATACATCCGGTAGAAGTCCGTTTCACATTCGTTCAACATCCGATTTATTCGTTAAACGTCCGGTAGAAGTCCGTTTATGAATTTGTCTACCAGACCTCCAACGGATGTATAACGGTCAAGTAACGGATACAAAACGGAAACGAAACGGACGAGTACCGTACAAAACGGACGCCTACCGGACGTTCAACGGACACTTTATCCGTTGGACGTCCGTTCAAAGTTTTGAACATCTCACAATTTTCCAACGGACAGAACGGACGTCGACAGATAAAACGTACGCTAAGCGGACATGAAACGGATATGGACGGACGTCTAACGGATAAGAACGGACGTCTAACGGACATGAACGGATAGAAAAAAAGTAATCCGTTCGGCATCCGTTCGAGCTATCCGTTAAGGTGTGATCGAGGCTTAACGTTCATTAGCCTCTTTTTTTTCAATCTACCCTGTACGAAAGGTGAAGCCTGTAAATTACTAGAAACCAGGCGTAGAAATCATACTTTATCCTGGCGTCATTGCAGTGTTTTAGGAATGTATGTCCAGGCGTCAAATAATTTAACCATGCGTAAACCAGCGGAAATCAAGCGTAACTGAGGCGTAAAATTAGGCGTAACATTTAAATGAATTCGACTGGTCGACAGAAAACAAGACGTAATATACAAATGAGTACGTCTGGTAAAAAATA